AGGGCGCGTGCACTCGCCAGACAGAGAGAGACATAGAGACAGAAAGTGAGAAATCACTCCCCAGGGGGGATGGCCACACTGCAATCCCTTCTCCTCCATTCTCCCGGCATGAGTTTTAAGCCACCGGGTCCGGGACGCGAACCGCAGTTGACTACGTGGGAGTCCAGCAACATAGCCGTTACACTAACTGCTGGTTCCCAGTGGCTTGAACTTTTGTAGTTATTTCCTATCACGCTTCCCAATGTCCTTCTAGTTCCAACTTCTAACCTGGATCTAAACCCAGATGGCATGTCTCCCTAACCTTCTTTGATCACAGAGAAGAAGGTACCTTCTGACTAGGCCACAGGTGCAGGTAAAATGTCTCTCTTTATCAGGAGATTCCCAAATAATAGATCAGTAAATATGGATGTTGGCGTGATGTCTCATGAAGAAAGGGGTTTTTTGTTTGTTTGTTTTTTTAACTTTCTCTGATTTTTGACTAGTCTACATAGCGATGTGTTCTTCAGTGCTTCCTCTCTCCTTGGGTTGATGATAGTCTCTATTGAACTAAACTCACCTAAAGCTACAAATTCCTGCACCTCCCCACCCACACACAGATTAGCAGATCACCAAGCACGGAGCAGCAGCAGGCTCGTGCTCTGTTCCAAGATCACGCTGATTTCAAAGCAAGCTTGGTAACTAAGCTGCACTGGATTATTTGCCAGGAATCAGGGCCTTTTGACATGATCGCAGTATTCCAGTACCATACAAGAAATCGAAGTTCTGGAGGCCTTGCAGCTTTGAGTCGTGTGAGCCCTAATTAGAAATTTCTGGTGCTCAGTACTTGCCATTGTGGACTAGCAACGAGACGTGGCAATTTGTTCTTTCGTCATGAAACTTCAGGCCCAAATCCATAGAATCTGACTTATTGTTTAGGAAGCTCCTGAGAAGGAGAGACATCCCCTGCAGCTGTGACCTTCTCAGAAAGCTCTCGGTGGTTTAAGAGAGCTAAAGGAAGGGGCTCACCCCTCCTCCCGTTCCCACAGTATTCTGTTTTGTCCTAATGGAATGCTGTTTGCTCACCTCTAGAGCTGGCTTTGCAGAGCCCACAATGTAGCAAATGTAGTAACATTGTGAAACCATGACAAACAGAAAAGAAGTGTTTGTCACTAGTTTCCATTTGTTTAACCCTGCACTGTGGCTCCAACCTTGGTTGTGCTTCAGAATTACCTAAGAGCTTTTAAAACTCCCAATTAAACCAAATTCTCTAAGAGTAAGACCTAACTCTATGTGTGTGTGTGTGTTTTTAATTCCAGTTATCCGGTCGTGTGGCTGAAGTTGAGAACCATGCACAATGTTTCATATTCTCACTGCTGATCGTTCTTTGCCATGCTCCCTTTCTTTCTTTGTCACCACTTAATAGCTCCTCTGAGGTTTATGAGCACTGACCCACATTCTCAGAGTTAGGAGAACCAATTCAGATATTCTGGCACATTCTGGAAGCTAAAACTTTGCTACTACAAAAATTGTCAAAAGGCATGCAATGCCCATATATTCTGTTAGTTTCAAAAGAGTTGATAAATTATTTTCTGCATTGTAGAAATGTCAAACCTAATTCCTAAAACACTAAAAATGCTATGCCAAAAAAAAAAAAAAAAAGACATCGTCTCCTGAAGTTTGGCCTCGTTGATGTCCGTGGCTATGACTCTGGCACCTTCTCTTGCAAAAGCCACGGCTGCGCCCCGGCCGATGCCCTGGCATGGTAGTTAGGGCCACTGGACCCCACAAGGCCACCTACGGCCAACTACGAGGTTTGAGTCTTACCCTGCAGCTTAAAAAACACACCTGGTGCTTATTTGTATGGCTCTAAATCCCCAAGGAGGGAGAGAGGGAGGGGAGGAGATGCAATGTGACCATCCCAGGGGGGTGCTTTCTCACTGACTCTCTTTTTTGCTGTCTCTCTCTCGGGCAAGGACACGTGCCTTCTATCAAATTTTTAAAAAATGAAAGAAACTTCACGCTCCAAATCATAAACATCTGTAGCCACTTGACATTATCTGCTTTTATAAATTGGCCTTTAGATGCTTGTGCTCATAAATCAAAACACTGAAATCAGAAAAGGTTTAATTTGGGGAAATCTTTGTCACCGTATTTACTGGTTAAAAGGAGTATAAAGATTCTAGTTAAATATCCTTAAAAGGACATTATGAAATTGAAAATTTGTTTCCCTTAAGAAAGATTTTTTTTTTTGAGAAGTTTTCGCTACAGGGTACGTGCGTTCTCCAGACAGAGACAGAGAGATAGAAAGCGAGAAATCACCCCCCAGGGCGGATGGTCGCACTGCAATCCCTTCTCTTCCATTCTCCTCTCGGGATCTTGGGCATGCATGCACACACACCCTGCGTGAGTTTTAAGCCACCGGGTCCGGGACACGAACCGCGGCCGACTACGTGGGAGTCCAGCGACATAGCCATTATGCTAACTGCTGGTTCCCAGAAAGATGTTTCAAAAGGTGTATTAATCCATAGTCTAAGTTCCCTTGATGAACTCATTGACAGCATCGACTGTTTACATGAGGCTGACTTACGTGTCGTCTTGTGACGTCATCTTGCTGGGGGGTAAAGGCCGACTCAGAGAAGTAGAGTTACTTGGTTCCGGCACTGACTGTCTCGGCGTGCCTGTCTGCCAATGCCCTTACCTTTGCGACTGTACGTTCCACCTTCACAGGGCCGAGCAGAGGAGGGCAGGGCCAGCATTTACCAGTCGGTCTTCACCAACTCCTCCAAGGAGATGATGTGCTTCCCAGACTTCCCTTACCCCGACGACTACCCCAACTTCATGCACCACAGCAAGCTCCAGGAGTACATCATCGCGTTCGCCAAAGAAAAGGGTCTCCTAAAGTACATACGATTCGAGGTAAGCTGCTTTCAACAAACAGCTTTTGGCATCATAGTAAGGGAGCCCGTGTCTGTGACTAGATTCCCATCTCAGGAACCCTTTCTCTGTTTTTTAAGCATTATTTATTTATTTTTATTATTATATTTTTTTAATTTGCTATAGGACATGTGAGCTCACCAGAGAAATGGAGAGAGTAAAAGCGAGACCACCGGCTGTCAGGTTCTGGCACTTGAACTGCGGTTGGCCACATGGGAGTCCAGCACCTTAACCACCACCTACTGGCCCCTTAGTAGCCCTTTCTTATTTGTCAGCATTTTAACAGTGTAGACTCTATAACCTTAGATCAAAAGAAATGCATCTTTTTTGGGACCAGCAGTTAGCATAATGGCTACAACACTCGACACCCACCTATGCCACAGTTCGCGTCCTGGACCCGGTGGCTTAAAACTCACGCCAGGTGCATGTGCGTGTGTGCCCAAGATCCCGAGAGGAGAATGGAGGAGAAGGGATTGTGGCGTGGCCATACCCCCTGGGGGGCGATTTCTCGCTTTCTGTCTGTCTCTCTATTTCTTTCTGGTGAGCACATGTGCCCTATAACAAAAACCTCTCCAAAAAAAATGCATCTTTTTTAAAAGCATGTACAGAACATTTACAAAACTTGACCACATATAGTTCTTAGACCACAGTGCCACTAAGAAATCAACATAGAAATAAATGTAAAACATCTCAGAATTTGAAAATTGAAAACTTAAAAAATATATATATCTAGCTAAAGAATAATTTTAATGAAAACTTAAAAATATTTGTGACTTAGGGACCAGCAGGTGACATAGAGGTTAAGGCAGCTGGATCCCACATATCCAACTCCATGGTTCAAGTCCCAGACCAGGTAGCTTGAAAATCATTCTGGGAGGGTGTGAGTGTATGCCAAAAATACCAATAGGAGAGTGGAGAAGGAGGGATTATGGCATGGCTGTCCCCCCAGGAGTGATTTCTCTCTCTCCCTCTCTATATTTCTCTTTCTCCTGTGAATGCACGTGCACTATGGCAAAACAAACAAACAAACAAAAACAAAAACACCACCTTACATTAGAATAAGAATGGTTTTAAAACTAATAATGTAAGGAAGTTTAAGAAATTATTGAAGGTAGAGGACTGACCCTGTTGCCTTGTGGTTAAGGGAGCCAGATTTCACCGGTTTGTGTCTCAGCCTGGGCTGCCTGGAAGACATGTAGGGTGCAGGTGCATCCCCACATCTCAGTGGGGTGAAAGGTGGAGAGAAGAGATTGTGGTATGTCTACACCCCATGGTGTGTGGGGGGGTGATTTCTCCCTCTTCCTGTGGTAAACATGTGTGCCCTCTGGAAATTAAAAAGAAGAGAGACGAAAGAAAAGAGAGAAAAGAAAAAGAAAGCAGAATAAAATTAAGAACATAACATGAAGGGCTTAGGACTAGCAGGTGGTTTGACAGTCAGGACAGCTAGAACCCGCATGGCCAACTTAGTGGTTCAAGTCCCAGTCCCAGAGGCCTGGGAAACACATCAGGCTCATGTGCATGTGTACTTGAAATCCACAAGGAGAATGGAAGAGAGGAGATTTGGCATGACAATACCCCTGGGAGGTGATTTCTCATTTTCCCTCTCTCTCTGTCTCTCTCAGGTGAGTACACACTCCCTATTGCAAAAACCAAAAAAAATGAAGAAGAAAGAAAAAATATGAATGTGTAGTAATACAAAGAAATTTAGAAAATAGAAAGTAAAGCATACTAACAAAATTGAAACTTCATTCCTTGCCAAATCTAATAAAACAACACATAAGTAGCTAGAAGTTCAAGGAAAAATAAAGAAACAAATAACTAATATTGACAAGGAAACAGTAAATAAAATAGATGTGGAAGAGATAAAAATATGGGCCAGCCTATGGCATAATGGTTACGTCATTGCACGTAGTCAACTATGGTTCGAGTCCCGGACCCGGTGGCTTAAAACACTGGGCATGTGTGCCAGGATCCCAAGAGGAGAGTAGAGGAGAAGGGATTGTGGCGTGGCCATTCCCCTGGAGGGGGTGATTTTTCACTTTCTGTCACTCTGTCTCTTTCTGTCTCTCCAGTAAGTATATACACCCTATAGACAAAAAAAAAAAAAAACCTCTCTCTAAAAAACATTTTTAAAAAATACAAGAATACTCTATAGTGCTTACCAAATAATATTTTTAATTGACTAAATTTATTCCATCTTCATTTTAAAAACTCAACAGAATGTGACTGGCAGGTGGCATGGTAGTTAAAGGTACTGGACTCCCACATGACTGACCACGGTTCAAGTCCCAGACCTGGTGGCTTGCCACCTGTTGACCCCATATTTTTACTTTTTAATGTGATTACTAGAAAATTTTAAACTACATATGTACCTCATATTATAGTGTAACCGGACAATGCAAAACAGTGAAAAGTTAGAATCACTCCCCATAAGGACCAGCACAAGATATGAATTCCAATTATTACTTCTTTTTTAATATCAAGACATTTTAAGAAACTACATTAAGTAAACGCTAACTGCTGGTCCCTAAAAAAAATTTTTAAAAAATACAAGAATACTTTATAGTGCTTACCAAATAATATTTTTAATTGACTAAATTTTTTCAATCTTTATTTTAAAAACTCAACAAAATGTGACTGGCAGGTGGCATGGTAGTTAAAGGTACTGGACTCCCACATGACTGACCACGGTTCAAGTCCCAGACCTGGTGGCTTGCCACCTGTTGACCCCATATTTTTACTTTTTAATGTGATTACTAGAAAATTTTAAACTACATATGTACCTCATATTATAGTGTAACCGGACAATGCAAAACAGTGAAAAGTTAGAATCACTCCCCATAAGGACCAGCACAAGATATGAATTCCAATTATTACTTCTATTTTAATATTAAGACATTTTAAGAAACGACATTAAGTACAGATGACAAAGGGACTGACAAATCAGGTGAAAGAGAAATGCCATTATTATAGTTAATATGATCATTTGTGTAGCAAACTCAAAAGAACCTACAAACGACCAGAATTAACAATACAAAGAAGTTAGGTTAAATTCTGGTATGTAAGATCCCTATTTAAAAATCTATTGCATCAGGGATCAACAGCGTAATGGCTATGTCGCTGGACTCCCACGTAGTCGACCGTGGTTCGTGTCCCGGACCTGGTGGCTTAAAACTCACGCCGGGTGCGTGTGCGTGCGTGCCCAAGATCCTGAGAGGAGAATGGAGGAGAAGGGATTGCAGCATGGCCATCCCCCCGGGGGGTGATTTCTCGCTTTCTGTCTCTCTGTCTCTCTCTGTCTGGCAGCGCACGCGCACTATAGCGAAAAACCTCTCAAAAAAAAAAATCTATTGCATCAGGGCCATCAGGTGGCATGGTGGTTAAAGTGCTAGACTCCCACACAGCTGATTGTGGTTCAAGTCCTGGACCTGGCAGCTCTTTCTCTCTCTCTGTCTCTCTCTGGTGAGCATACTAGCGCTACAACAAATTTAAAAATAGTAATAATGGTGATGATAAATAAAATTAAATGAATAATTATTTTAAAAATCTATTGCATCTCTGTAAGCCCTCAATGAAGAAAAACTACAATCCAAAAAAGGTGCCACTTACAGTAGAATAATAAATGAAAAAAATGAAATCCACAGTTACTCTAAACAAAGATATGTAAGATCCAATGGGTTTATAAGTGCTCATTTTATTAGTATACTTTATAAATGACAAATATGTTATACACGTGTGTGTATTGAGTTTCTGATACATTTGAAATACTATTAATAAAGTTTTTAAGAACAGTGGATACCAGGTAAGGGCTCTCTTTTCAATGTAACCAACAAGATGAAGAGATCTGTGTACCAGAGGGGCCACACCAACAGAAGACCGTCAGCTGTGAGTGCGCAGTCCAAGTAGAGTCGCCATCACCTGGAAGGGGTTAGAAAATCTCATTTCTTGGGGCCTGCAGGTGGCACAGTAGTTAAAGCACTAGGCTCCCACATGGCCAACCATGGTTCGAGTCCTGGACCCAGCAGCTTGAAACACAGTAGGCATGTGTGCATGTGTGCCAAAAATCCCAAGAGGAGAATAGAGGAGAAGTTGTGGGCTGTCCATCCCCTGCCCTGGCTAGTGATTTCTCATTTCCTCTCTCTCCATCTCTCTCTGCCTCTCTGGTGAGCACATGTGCCTTATGTACAGATTTCAAAAACCTCTTCCCCAAAAAAGAAGTCCTTGTTCCTCACCCCGGCCTACTGAGCCAGAACACCTGGAAGCACGGCTTCGAAACATGGACTCTAACAAGCCTTCCAGGTGACTCGAACACTAAGGTTTAAGAAGGACCTGTGTCCTAAATATAAAGCATATCTTTCATGCTAAGACATCAATAATATAAAAGGTAAAATGGCTAGAGATATAAGTGAGGAGGTGGCCGTTACTGCAAATCTTGTTGATCACCCCGTTACTTATTACATGTGGTGGACACTTTTGTTAACTAGGGTTGGGTTTGCTGTGAGATCCCCAAGGGATGTCACTCTTGTATTGCAGAATATACTGGTCATACACAGAGAACCCTTACTGGGGAGACACACACACACACATACACACACACACACACACACACACACACACACACGTTGTCTTCAAAGAAGTTCATGGAAAATGTGTATTACAAAAAAAACTATGTACAGATTCCAAATTTTTTTGCACCAATTGCACTCATATTTTAATTGCATTTTTCCATGGACTTCTTATATTTATTTTTTAAAGAATTGTGTGTTTAATTTTTAAATTTATTATTATTATTTTAAAATTTGATGAGAAAGAGAAGTAAAATGAGAGAGGTAAAATCAGAAAGCAAGCTGCCAGGTCCAGGATTTGAACTGCAGTCGGCAGTGTGGGAATCCAGTGCCTTTAATCACCATGCCACCTCCCAGCACCTCCTTTTTTCTTTTTTTACATTTAATCACTGTATAATAGTGATTTACAGTGTACAATATGTTTTTTGCACAGTATATATTAGTCAAGTCAAATACATCGCCATATACACTATCATCAATAGAAAACTTTTCGGGGCCAGCAGACGGTGTGGTGATAGGGCACTGGACTCCCACATGGCCAACCATAGTTTGAGTCCCAGATCTGGTGGCTTGCTTTCTCACTTCCCTCTCTCTCTCTGTGTCTCCCTCTGGTCAAATTAAAATAATAATAATGGTAATAATAAATATAATAATAATTCTTTAAAAAACAGATAACTTTTCATTTTTGCATCTTTTAAATGTTTTATTTGTTCAGTTTCTTCCCAGTTTCCTCCTCATACCCCCGACTACCCACCCTTTATTACCTACCCCCATTACCAACACCCTCTATACTGTCTCTAGTATCTAAAGTTGCCCTCCTTGCTATTAGACCTTTTAATATTTCAGTTTCTGCTACAGAGTGCAGCCATTCAGTATATATTAAATAGAGACATACAATGCCTGTCCTCTTTTTTTTTTTTTGAGGTTTTTGCTATAGGGCGTGTGCGCTCGCCAGACAGAGAGAGAGAGACAGAAAGCGAGAAATCACCCCCCAGGGGGGATGGCCATGCCACAATCCCTTCTCCTCCGTACTCCTCTAGGGATCTTGGGCATGCACGCACATGCACCCGGCGTGAGTTTTAAGCCACCGGGTCCAGGACGCGAACTGCGGTCGACTACATGGGAGTCCAGCGATATAGCCATTACACTAACTGCTGGTCCCTACAATGCCTGTCTTTCATAGTCTGGTTTGCTTTGCTTAACATTGAATCTTCCGTATTTGTCCACTTTGTATCAAATGTCAGGGTCCATTTTTTGTTTTACAGCTGTTTAGTAGTCCATAGAAAAATGATCAGTCCAATCAAAAGATAGGGAAATGAGCTGAATAGATAACTCTCAAAGGAAGGCGTACAAGTAGAAAAATGCTCAACCTCTCTTATCATAAGGTAAATGCAAATCAAAACCACAATGGGATGCCACTTAACTCCAATCAGAATGGCTAAGATTAAAAAGCATAAATAACAGGGACCAGCAGGTGTAATGGTTATGTCACTAGACTCCCATATGGCTGATCACAGTTCAAGACCCACTTGAAACTCACACCAACCGTGTGTGCATGCATGCCCAAAATCCTGACAGAAGAATTAAGGAGAAGTTGTTTTGGCATGAGCAACACCCCAGGGCGGGGGGATTTCTTGCTTTCTGTCTCTTTTTCTCTAGGGCAAGCACATGTGCCCTATAGGAAAAATCTCTCTAAACAAAAAAGTGTTCTTTTTTTTTTTAATTTTTAAAAAATAAATAATAATAAATACTGATGAGGCTGCATTGTAAAGGGAAACTTCCATGAACTTGTTTGAAGCTACTGTGTGTGTGTGTGTGTGTGTGTGTGTGTGTGTGTGTGTCTACACCATTTAGCACTTTGGCTTACTCTGGGGAAATGTTGCCTTTGTACAATGTACCTTATTAATGAATTTGATATTTCTAAGCTACTAATTATTATCTCCTTCTATAGTGTCCTTGACAAATCTCCCTGTTAGTACAGAGAATAAAGCTTTCTTTCTGTTTTTCTTAGACATTTGTGTCTTCTGTAAGCAAACGCCCTGATTTCTCAGTCACTGGCCAATGGGACGTTACCACAGAAAAGGATGGTAAGAAGGAATCGGCCATCTTTGATGCTGTCATGATCTGTTCTGGGCATCATGTCTACCCCAACCTCCCCAAAGAGTCCTTTCCAGGTAAGGCTGAGATTGAATGCAGACTGCCATCTGCACATCTGGCAAGAGTAAATATCTTGAAGATGCCTTCCTTTTTTGATAAAAGTGTAAACAAATTAAGTTAAAATATACTTCTGTTATAGCTAATCAACTGGGAGTGGGAAATTCCTTATTACCGTTACTGCATCTACCCACAAGCTCACTTCTCTTCAAGCAGATTTTTGTCCTAATGGAAATCAAAGTGATTCATGCATTTCCCTTTTTTTATTCAGGACTAAAACAATTTAAAGGCAAAATCTTCCACAGCAGGGACTACAAGGACCCAGGAACATTCAAGGGAAAGCGAGTCCTGGTGATTGGCCTGGGGAACTCCGGCTGCGATATTGCCACGGAACTCAGCCGCACAGCTGAGCAGGTACACTGCCTGGTACAGAGGACTTCCTTTAGAGGGACAGAACAGTTATCGTTGAAAGGTGTGATATGGCACGTGGGTGGAGGGAGACAGGGAACTTCTGCAAACCACGTTGTTTTCCATATTCCTCAGCTCCTCAGGTACAGCGAGGTTTCAGTCTGACAGGCGACAGCAAGTCCTCAGCAGGGAGGGCTGTGACAGTCTTCTCCAAGACCAGCATGCCTCTGATCCATTCCTCCAAAACGAGTGTGTAGGGCCAGCAGGTGGTGTGGTGGTTAGGAGTGCTGGACTCCCACATGGCCGACCATGGTTCAAGTCCCAGATCTGGTGGCATGCTTTCTTGCTTTCCCTCTCTCTCTTTCTCTCTCACTCACTCTGTCCCTCTCTGATCAAATTTAAATCAATCAATTTAAATAAAATAATTCTTAAAATAAAATAAAATAGAACTAGTGTGGATTTAAGGTTGAGGTTGACTCTAAGACTCTCAGTACCCAAGTTTCAGGTTCCTCATGGTAAATAGTTAAAAATAGAACCTGCCTTTTGGGCTCCTTAAGGAGGTAAAGCATTCGAAGACCGCCGGAGCGATACAGAGCCGTGTGCTTATTCATTGTGCGTGGCTTCATTCCGTGGTCATTTGTCAGATCCCACTGTGTGCCAGTCACTGGCCACATGCCGGAGAGAGTGGAGAACAAAACAGACACAATCTCAGCCTGGAGCTCGGAGTCCAGCGGGAATCCACAAACGTGCAGTCATAATTGTGAAAAGTGCTGGGAAAGAAAAGAACAGCACGCCATCGAGGGGAAAAGGGAAGGCCTACGTCAGAGCATGAGTGGAATGCCCTTTCAGACTAATGACATTTAAGCTGATGGCTAAAAGTGAGAAAGAGCACAGCGTCAGAAGAGGTCTCCAGGCAGGAGGTCCTGAAGCAGAAAAGAGTTTGGAGTCTCAAGAAACTGAGAGAAGCCCCTTGGCTACAAATTAGTGGGTCTGGAAAAGTGTGTGAGGAGAGGTTGGAGGGAAGATGGAGAAGAGGTAACACGGCCCTTTGGACATGTTAAGGCGTTTGAACAAGGGTCCCCTACTAGCTTAGAAAGATTCTTCAGGGACTGACTGCCCACACTCCCCAAAATAGGAGTCCTTCTTCTAGACGTCCTGCCAGCTGAGGTCAGGCACCCCAACATAGGTGGCCAGAATCCCGACCACAGGCCCAATTTTACATCATGCGATACCATCAGGGAAGGAAGGAGATTGTGGCAGGACCAATGGGCCTATCCTTATTTTTCTGCTGGAAACACTACACTCAACAGAACGGAGGCATGAAAAGAAACTGACTACATGGGCTCTCTTTTCAAAGAGTCTGGAATCTCGTTAGTCATACAGTGACAATTTAAATTAAACATAATCTCAAGAGTTAATGGACAGCACAGCAGCCTTACAAGAGCTATAAGTGATTCCGGCACTAACGGCTATTGTAGAACTCAGAAAGGAGGCGGGCCTGAACCAGTCCTTGAAGGCTGAATATGAACCATGAGGCTGAAGGTGACAGAGGAGGTTTTGGAAGGGAAAATGGCACGAGTGTTAAGACAGCGATGAACCCCTCATATTTGACTATTAGAGATTCCTCCTGTTAGAATGGAGATCCTTGACAATAACTATTTGAATAATGTACTACGGCTCTCAAATACTTTCACATAAATAAGCTCCCTTGACTGTAGGAAGAAGGTAGGTAAATTTGTAAAAAAAAAAAGAAAAAAAGAAAAAAATTGTTTTGGGAGAGGTTTTTTGCTATACGGTGCATGCACTTGCCAGAAAGACACAGAGAGACAGAGACAGAAAGTGAGAAATCACCCCCCAGGTGGGATGGCCACAACCCAAACCCTTCTCCTCTCGGGATCTTGGGCACGCACGCACACATGCCTGGCATGAGTTTAAGCCACCGGGTCTGGGACTCAAACTGTAGTCGACTACATGAGAGTCCAGTGACATAGCCATTACGCCAACTGCTGGTAAATTTTATTATGTCTCCTTTACAGAAGAAGACAAGGAGGACCAGAAAAGCCAGAGTTAAGAGATTTGTGTCTGTGTGTGTGACAATCACAGGGAAGGAAGGCCCATTTCAAAGGCTCTCACTTTATCCTTCAGTCTCTTCTTACTTGTCTGACTTCTTTTGTAGAAATGCCTGGAAGTGACATTATATATAAAAATTGTTGGTCAGCTGCAGGGTTCAGTGGTAACACAACCCTCCATGATGCTGAGGCCACCTGTAAAGTCCCAGGCCTCCCTGTCCTGTCCAGGTGTGGGTGCACTTGCCTGTGAATCTGCCTGCCTGGGGTTGGGGGACTGCAGCATGAAGACCCCCACTGGGCGTGGCCCTCTCCTTTCCACTCTCTATCATGGAAGAAATAATAAATACACTTTTTAAAAAAGGTTAAAAGAGAGAGAGAAGAGCTGAAAAATAACAATTAGAGGTAAATATAACAAAAGGGGAAGGAAAGAGGGTTGATCTTAGTGAGCCAGGTAGCACAGCCATGCTGTGTGGGTTATCATGCTGAATCAATCTGCACACACATTCGATGTGATGGTTACTGATTCTTTCCGTTAGAATGAGAAAGCAAGACTAGAAAAGTGAAAGGAATTTTCCCAAGTCACGTCATTAGTAACTAGAGGAGCCGATGGCTTTCTGATTCCATATTTCTTGCCTGTTTTAGGGATGATGGCAGGCACTTGAGTTTGAAATGCCCATTCTGAGATCACAGTTGCTTGTTTGGAGTCAGTAATAGTCAGATAAGCACTGGGGAAAATCTGAGTAGAGCTCAGTCCTTGGCTGCTGGTACCAGGAAGCATTGATTAATATGGAATTGTGCCTGCACTAGCCTGGAAGGTGCGGACCTGAGATGTAGAGTTCAGGAATTCACTTAGGGTGATCTCAGGATCAACAGCCCTGCAGGACTGAGGGGAGCTTCCTTTTACTTAAGCTGAAGCCAGAACCACCTTCAGCATCATCCCAGGCTGGGTGAACTAGGCCTCTCTGTGCACATTCTGGCCTGTCCTGGCTGCAGGGACACAGGAGTGTCTAAGACTCTTGAGTGAGACAGCTCACAAAGGGAGCTGTAGCAGAAGTATGCCCTCGGGCAGCACACCCAGCAGCTGGGGTCCGAATCCATTCCTTAGGGGGAGTCTGGGGAGCCTGTCACAATGTCCTCTACAAATGCTCACAGCTTTCATGGTTGAATTGGTGTTTCTGAAGGTCATCATCAGCTCCAGAAGTGGCTCCTGGGTGATGAGCCGCGTCTGGGACGACGGTTACCCCTGGGACATGCTGTTTATCACTCGGTTTGAAACCATGCTCAAGAACAGCTTACCGACAGCCATCTCTGACTGGTGGTACGTGAAGCAGATGAATGCAAGATTCAAGCATGAGAACTACAGCTTGATGCCTTTAAATGGGTAATACAGAGCAGCACGTGACACACCTGCTGACCCTCAGTGTCAGTAACCCGGACTGTGTGTTGTAACCTTAAACAAACCCAAATACTCGTGGAGTAATCACATCTCATATGTCAGAGGACAAAGAATGAGATAAATTAAGAGTGATTTCCTGTTTTGCAATCCCTTTTACCAGATTTGCACAGCTGGAAAGTTATATAATACCTCAGGCATTAGTCACTAGGGTAATGATAATAATACTTAATGTGTTTTAAGCACTTAATAGAACTCAGAGTCTTAGCAAGGCTCTTCAAAAGGTCTGACATGCATGATCTCATTTTATCCTCATAACAACTATGAGGAGAGCGTGGTGTGTATCCCCTTTAGATATGAGAAAATGGAAGTTCACTGTAGTTACTTTACAAAGTCCCCCTACCTGGGAGTAAAAGCAGTATTCCAGCCAACCCAGATATGCTGAATCCAGAACCTTCGTTCTTAGCCACTTGCTCCACTGCCTCCCACTTGGTACTTGGCACCCAGTGAAGGCAAACAGGGCAGAAGAAATTTCTGGTTCTACACCCCCATCTGCACCACCTGAGTGAGTCCTCTCACTGAACTGCGGCCACACTGCTCTGTCTTCAGTCTCCTCCTCACTGTCTCCTAGAACATTCTCAAGCCAGTCACAGATAAGAAGTGACTTTGACATGGAGTGAAAAGCCCAAGATATACACTTTTCATCAAAGTGAATTAATTGATTCAGCTGACTTCTTATGGCTGGTGAGGGCTGTGGGGCACACCAGACAGGAGAGAGGCTCAAACCATCAGGTGACATTTTTGAACAGCTAGAACATAGGCCGTATTAAAGAGCTGAAACGAGATGGCATCTCTTAAAGAATGAGTGTCGATGGGTAAGACCGAATCTCTGAGGGCTGAGCTCTGAGCTCCAGGTACTCCATTGTTTAGGACTCATCAGTGGAAGATGCTGAGAAAAGCCAGCCACGTAGGTAGGG